ATGACCATCTTACATCGCTCAAATCTAAAATCACCAAGAAGGCTCTACGATTAAGGCCTATACACGGCTACTTTGCCTATTTACTTTCGTCGCTTTTCCATGCATGTAGTTCAATTTAACATATTTACTTTTATAAATCATTATTTTCTTGCGTTATTTCATTCACCTTTAAGATATAAAATTAATTTAAATCTATTTAATAATGATACATAAAATTATAATATTCGATATTTTATTTACATTTTTAGTTATTATTATTATTATTTTACTTTTCTTTTAGCTAATTTATTTGAGATCACCTCATATTGATTTTGCTAACATGCTTCTCTCCTTCAAGCCTGATTCGTTTGATTCATTATCCACAATTGTATTAGCCTATTTTAAGCGTATTGATGTTGCTCAATTTACGAATAATGATGGTATTTGCTATTCCTCTTATCATTTCTTTAGTCCCATTTGACGTTGTTCTTTCCAATTCTACCTTTCAACTTACTTCGCGCTCTTCTATTTTATGGTACTTATTGCTTTTATTTTATTTAAAAGTTTTTTATCTGAAATCGATCCTTTTGAGGAGCTCTTTCAGAAGTTTCTTAATTGGGAGTCGCAGTATCTTAGAGTAAATGCTTTGATAAATTTACTGACAGCCTTTCTTCTATGGCATTGCCAATTCCTACTTGAACGGTCAAAAGCAATCAAGCTTTACTGAAATCTCTCTTCCTGATTTTTTGCCTTTTCCTTCAAAAGATATTTTTAAATCGTCCCCTCATGTCCCGATTCTGTGGAGCTATTTCATTTTCTTCTTTGATGAAAATAGTCCTATTAGTATGTAGTACCGTTCACATTGACGTATTTAAAGAGTTGCATGGATGTGAAACATCTCGTGTCTTCTATAATGAAATAAAGAACAATGAGTGCTTTATGAAGACCTGGGATATCCTATCGAGTCTGAATAAGCCATCTACTTTCAAGGTGGTTGTCCCGATGAAGTTTTTTTGGGATTCTATATTCCTTTTTTTTAACTTACATTGATTCTTGTTTCAGAAACTTTTGGCTTCGGCCTGTACTTCTTTTCGGACATTGCCATCTATTAATCTTAACTATTCAGAACCCAAAATCAAGAATTCTATTTCTGTTAATTCAGAAACTGGTGATCGAGAGGAGATTATCAAAATCGGCATTAAATTTAGCGAAAAAGATTTAAGTGATGCTGAAGCCGCATTTTTTAATCCTAGATTTAACTGCAAGCCAAACGTGCATAAATCTCCCAAGTTGGTCATAATCATTTGCTTCTACCTTTTAATTCGTGCTCTCAAAATAATGTTTTTTGTTTGATTTCAGAAGACCACTTCCTAGACGATCACGTATTCGAAATATTCTTATTACATCGGCCCTTCCTTACGTCAATAACGTGCCTCATCTAGGAAATCTCGTTGGATCGACACTAAGCGCTAATGTTTTTGCTTTATATTGCAAATTGGCTGATTACAATGTTCTTTCTGTTTGTGGCACTGACGAATATGGCACTGCGACTGAGGCCAAAGCTCAACTGGAAGGATGTAGTCCGCGTGAAATTAGTGATCGCTTTAATATCCTTCATAAATCAATATACGACTGGTTCGAAATTGACTTTGAATACTTTGGGCGAACTTCAACACCTAAACATACAGAGTATATTTTTTTAATTAATATACTTTTGTGACTTTTTCTATTTTAAAATATATTGTCATATAATACAAAAAAACAAACTATTATATTTAGTCTAATCTGTTGAATTTTATTGCTTACTTTATTGACTTACTGCTCTATATCGCTTTTTATGTTTCTTCTACGGTTTTGTGTAATCTCTCCAGCCTATGCTAAACCAAACTAATCCAGGAAACAGCGCTCTATCCTTTTTTTCTCGTCCTACATCCTCCATCTAGTCTTGGTTGATACCTTGGATATTTGTTCGTTGTAAGCTTGGTAGATGTAATCAAATGTGGAAGTTTCGATGGAGTAGCTTTGTTTATGTGATAAAGTTCTTTTCATCTCAATAATTGAATTGTGCCTTATATGGTGTAAATAGTGGAGCGATTGTACACGCCATTTTTGCCGAAGAATTATGCTTATTTCAATAATAATTAACTTTTTGGAATCTATAGTGTAGCTTTACAAAAGAATTTTTTATTTTATTTTTTGGTGTCCACCTCTCATATCCGCACAAAAATATGTGCACTGTCATTAAATCTGTGTAGCGTAG